AATCTTTGGGGCCCCAGGGTCAGCTCACTGCACGCATAGGTGCACAGCCAACAATGAAATATAAATTTCCAATGGAGTACAGAAGTGAATCCTGATGAAAGGTATTATTAAATTCAGCTAAATACAAAGAAATTTCAACTGAACAGAACGGATTATTCCATAAAAAGGGAGTAGATTACAGTTTGCATCATTCGTTGTCTAGACAAATCACTTAGATACACATGTGCTGGTTTTAATTAGCGCCATGGACATTGAGCATTCCGTAGCCCAAAATGTTATTGTTCAACAAATAAAAAAATACATATTTAATAAAGAAAACTATAGCTCAGACAATCACTGTATGATTTTTTTATAGAATAGACTGTGGGTTTTTTTTTTCCTGTCCCTATTTAAATGAAAAGTCTACATGAGTCAAAATTGTCGCTGCTTCTTGTGCCTGATGGAAGGTTTTGTGTTCCCCACCCCCCTTGATATCACGAAATGTACAATTCTAATAGCAGTCCTATGCAGGACTGAATATACCACAGCATGACACTTTCTATTTTTAGCCAAAAAATCCAGACTTTCCCCCCCTGGTTTGGTCCTTCATCAAATTCTTGATGGATCTAGCCTCCTGCTCAAGTTTCTACACATCAGTGACCCTCGATGAGAAGACAGCCAATGGATTTTTTTTTTAACCTATGGCATTCCAGTCTAACCCTGCACAAAATCCAGACAGGGTCTAGGGGTCGAATGAGGAAGCACCCATACTGGAGCTGTGGCAATGGGGGAGGGCTAGGGAAGACATGGCAGGTGTGAGGGAGCAGGAAGCATGTCTTGGTCAGCTTGTGTTGCTGTAACAAAACCCTTCTGGCAGGTGGAAGTCCAAGATCAAGGTCCTGTTACTGTTTCTAGTGAGGACTCCCTTCCTGGCTTGTAGATGGCCACCTTCTAGGTCTTCACATAGTTTTCCTCTGTGTGTGAAGAGGGAGGGATATCTCTGGTGTCTTTTCTTAAAAGGACAGTAATTCTATTAGATTAGGGCCTACACTTTTATTACCTTAATTCTGTCCTGAAAGGCCCCATCTCCAAATACAGTCACATTTAAGTTAAGGTTTCAACATATGAATTTGGGGGGTGGGGAGACACAATTCAGCCCCTGGTAGAGGCGGTGGTACAGGCCTGGGGAGAGCACCCAGTGGGGAAGAATCCATAAACCTCACCTGCAAATGCCTCTCAGGGCAGGTGCACGGGCAGCGCCCCGGGTCGGGGGTGGTGGGGTGAGAAGCGGAGGGCATTCTGTGCTCAGGCCTGTTGGCAGCCAAGGCCCTGAAGCTTGTGAGGCTTTGGGAAGGAGGTTTAGAGGCTGGCACGTGGGGCTTGCAGGTTTGGAGGGGTGAGTGCATGCAGCCTTCTTTCTGCTCCCTTCTCTGAGATGCTGGGGCTGCCTCCCACACAGCAGGGTTTGGGTGCCTGCCTCGCCTCTCCCCTCCTCCAAGCTTTGGCTTCTGGCCAGAGGGAACACCTGCGCTCCGGCAGCATCTTGGACCTAGAGACCATACCGAGTGGTGGCTGGGGTTGGGGGGACCCTACCTGCCTGAGGATCACCATCACACCCCACATGCACACCTAAGCCAAGCAAAGGCCCTAAGCAAACGCAGCGTCTTCCTTTTCCAACCTCTTCTCAGAATTTCCGGGAAGGGGGCCACCCCTCAGCGCCCCCTGTAGGGAAATTCAGGAACCACCACTCCTTGCACATACCTTTCCGCTACACCATTACTGCAAACTAATTATTAGTTACAAAAAACGTATTCTCTACTAGAGTATGCACCCAGCTCCCACACCCAGGGTGGAGGGTGCATGTGTGTGCTTTCCATTGGAGCTTAATAAATATTTGAATAAATGAATGGGTGTTTTAAAGCCCATTAAACTTACACTAAGATGCAATTTGAAGGTAACGCGGCAGGTTAACAAGGAAGCAACTGAGAAGTGTAGTCATATGAGTAGAGATTGGAACACGAATATGGGGCGTGTGTAGGAGGGAGCGTGCTGTACCACGTGGGACAGAGATTTGGCCTTAGTGCCAGGCAGGCCTCAGTTCAAAGCTCAGCTCCACGGTCACTAGTTGTATGACCAGAATATGTGAGGTGAAGCACGTGGGCTATCACAGCATCCTATGGGGGTTCAGACCCCCAACTTTGATACCCGCCGGTTGAGTGATCTTGGCGGGTTACCTGACATCTTATTTCCTCAGAGAGTTGCAGATGGGAATTAAATGAGCCAAGTGCAAAGCGCTCAGAAAGCACTTGGCTCATGGTGCACTTAAAATAAATATTATTGTTACTCAACCTTTCTGAATCTCAGCTTCTTACTCTGTAGTAACAGGTTGCAGGCTGATTTTAAATGGAAAGGAAATAAATTTGTAAAAAGAAATTTCACCAAACAATACTTAGTTTGTGTGATGTAGTCTAATATCTTCATTTTTATTCTAGCTCATTAAAGAAAATGAGTGACCCAGCAAATGGATTTCATGATCCATTAGTGCGTAAAAACTTAAGGTTAAAAAAACCCAGCCTACAGAATGTGTGTGTGTGTAAATTTTAATTCCAGTATAGTTAACGGTAAGTTATTTTCGTTTCAAGCATACAATATAGTGATTCAACAATTTTGTATACTACTCAGTGCTCATTTATCCTTATCTCCAACATCTACTTCACCGATCCTTCCACCCGCCTCACCAGTTTGTTGTCTATGGTTAAGAATCTGGTTTTCTGTTTGTCTCTTTTTTTCTCTTTGTCCATTTGTTTTGTTTCTTAAATTCCACATATGACTGAAATTGTGTGGTATTTGTCTTTCTCTGACTGACTTAAGTTCACTTAGCATTATACTCTCTAGCTCCATCCTTGTTGTTGCAAATGGCAAGATTTCATTCTTTTTTATGGCTGAGTCATATTCCATCGTATAGATACACCACATCTTCTTTATCCGTTTATCAGTCAATGGACACTTGGACTGCTTCCGTAATTTAGCTGTTGTAGATAATGCTGCTCTCAACATACGGGTGCATGCATCTTTTTAAATTTGTGTTTTCATATTCTTTGGGTAAATACCCAGTAGTGCAATTACTGAATCATAAAGTAGCTCTATTTTTAATTTTTTGAGGACCCCCCCCATACTGTTTTCCAGAGTGGCTGCCCCAGTTTGCATTCCCACCAACGGTGCACGAGGGTTCCCTTTTCTCCACATCCTCGCCAACACCTATTGTTTCTCGTGGTTTTGATTTTAGCTATTCTGACAGGTGTGAGGTGAGATCTCATTGTGGTTTTGATTTGCATTTCCCTGCTGATGAGTCTACAGAATGTATTTTTAATATAGTTTATTTTTTCAGAGCAGCTTTAGGGTCACAGAAAAATTAAGCAGAAAGTACAGAGAGTTCCTGCATACCCCCTGCTCTGCACACACTCAGCTTCCCCCACTACCAATACCCCTCACCAGAGTGGCACGTTTGTTACCATCGACGAAACCTACAGTGACACAGCATTATCACCCCAAAGTCCATAGTTTACATTGGTGTTCACTCTTGCTGTTGTACATTCTGTGGGTTTGCCAAATGTATATGTACCCACCATTACGATATATCGTCAGAATAGTTTCACTGCCCTAAAAATCCTCCGTGCTTGCCTAGTCACCTCTCCCTCTAGAATATATATTTTTTAAGATTTTCTTTATTTACTTGACAGAGAGAGAGCACAAGCAGGGGGAGCAGCAGACAGAGGGAGAGGGAGAAGCAGGCTCCCCATTGAGCAGGCAGCCAGAGATGTGTGGCTCCATCCCAGGACCCTGGGATCATGACCTGAGCCAAAGGCAGGCCATTAACTGACTGAGCCACCCAGGCGCCCCTAGAATTTTTTTTTTTTTTTTTAGACTTTATTTATTCATTTGAGAGAGAGAAAGAGCACAAGCAGGGGGAGAGGCAGAGGGAGAAACAGACTCCCCGCTGAGCTGGGATTTCCCCACCTGGGTCTCGATCCCAGGACCTGGAGATTGTGACCTGTGCCAAAGGCAGATGCTTAACCATCTGAGCCACCCAGGCACCCCTAGAATATTTTTTTTAAACACAGTCTCCAGGTCACAGATGATGCTCAGTAATTTGCAGTGTAGATCATGCTGCAGGCTAGTGCAATGGTTCCGGCATGTGAGCTGCTGAAAGACAGCTGTGGCCACAAGCCCAGAAGAGAGGGGAGGGTGTGGTAAGGGCAGGCAGGCCTTGGCGACAGAATGGGGAACGGGGAGGCAGGAGCCTGGGGTTGCACGGGCTCTGGAAGCTAGTGGTGGTGGTGGGCTGCAGAGACGTAGGAAGTGGTGGACAGCAAGGCCTTCAAGGCAGAATTTCAACCTGCTAACCTGACGTGGATCCATCGGCCAGGACTGCAGGAAGCTCTCTGGATGAAGTGGTGGCCCAACTGGGCTCTACTTCCATTGCGCTGTGTGATGTTGGGCAAGTCCTTTCTCTCCTACAGGGGCTGCCCTGGATGTCCTACACCGTGAAGGCAAAAAGGTGCCGCCAACAGCCGGGCGGCGTTAGGGAGAGGCAGGGAACCTTCGAGGACCAGGCAGGATGGGCGGGAGTCTGAGACAAGGACGCACCAGGGACGCAGGCGGGAGCAGCCTCGGAAGGGGCTTTCTTGGGCACGTATTCCTGCCGAGCAACAGGCAGCCAGCCGTGTTCTTTCGCCATCGGTCTTCTCTACACAGCCGAGAGAAACTTTCCAGCCTGAGCCGCCAGCCGCTTTAAAGCCTGAGCCCCGGGCCGCCCCCGGTGACCCTCCGCGCCCGGGAGGGGCGGGCGGTGGCGCGCTGCTGGCGGCGCTGGCGGAGGCGGAGGTGGCGGCGGCAGCTGGGCCGGTCCGCCCAAGGGTTAACCCGTTCCCCGCAGCTGCCGCGCGTGCCTTGCAGAATTTCACCAGAAGAGGGTACAGTTTGAAAAGCTCTTGACGTCAGGCTGGAATTCCTATTGTGTTTAGAAAGGGCTCGGGCAAAGCAAGCCCAAGTTCGCTCTCCGCACACCTCGGCGGACTGCGTGGGTCCGGCAGCTCCGCGACTCGTCCCGCGCGGGAGGCGCCCGCGGGGACCCGCGCGTCTCGGGGACCTGCGCGCCGCTGCCTGCGCGTCCCGGGGGGCAGAGGACCGCCGCCCAAGAGGGGACCCCGGTCCCTCCGGAGGCCGAGCCGAAGCGGCGGGTCGCGCCGCCCGGGAGCGGGGGTGAGTGTCCTGGGCGAGGCCGGTGGCCGCGAGAGCCCCCCACCCCCACCCCCCGCCCCGCCGGCGCGCCCCGGCGCCCGCATGCCCGGCCGGAGCCCCGCGGCCGGGTGCATGCCTCCCCCGCGGCGCGCCCCTGCCGCCTGCCGCCCGCTGTGAGCGCCCCTCCAGGCAGGCGGGCGCCGGCGGGCTTCCCCGAGGGCGGCGCACGGCTGGGACCCCCCGGACCCGCGGCGGCTGGCGGCGGCGGCGGCGGGGCGCGGAGCCGAGGCTGAGCGGGCGCTCGCGGGGAGGATGGACGCGGCGGGGGAGCGCAGCCTCCCGGAGCCGGGCAGCCAGGACTCCCGGGCCGGCGACGACATCGAGATCGTCGTCAACGTGGGGGGCGTGCGGCAGGTGCTGTACGGGGACCTCCTCAGCCAGTACCCGGAGACCCGGCTGGCCGAGCTCATGGGCTGCTTGGCGGGGGGCTACGACACCATCTTCTCCCTGTGCGACGACTATGACCCCGGGAAGCGCGAATTCTACTTCGACAGGGACCCGGACGCCTTCAAGTGTGTCATCGAGGTGTACTATTTTGGGGAGGTCCACATGAAGAAGGGCATCTGCCCCATCTGCTTCAAGAACGAGATGGACTTCTGGAAGGTGGACCTCAAGTTCCTGGACGACTGCTGCAAGAGCCACCTGAGCGAGAAGCGCGAGGAGCTGGAGGAGATCGCGCGCCGCGTGCAGCTCATCCTGGATGACCTGGGCGTGGACTCGGCCGAGGGCCGCTGGCGGCGCTGCCAGAAGTGCGTCTGGAAGTTCCTGGAGAAGCCCGAGTCGTCGTGCCCGGCGCGGGTGGTGGCCGTGCTGTCCTTCCTGCTCATCCTCATCTCGTCGGTGGTCATGTGCATGGGCACCATCCCCGAGCTGCAGGTGCTGGACGCCGACGGCAACCGCGTGGAGCACCCGACGCTGGAGAACGTGGAGACGGCGTGCATCGGCTGGTTCACGCTGGAGTACCTGCTGCGCCTCTTCTCCTCGCCCAACAAGCTGCACTTCGCCCTGTCCTTCATGAACATCGTGGACGTGCTGGCCATCCTCCCCTTCTACGTGAGCCTCACGCTCACGCACCTGGGCGCCCGCATGATGGAGCTGACCAACGTGCAGCAGGCCGTGCAGGCCCTGCGGATCATGCGCATCGCCCGCATCTTCAAGCTGGCCCGCCACTCGTCGGGCCTGCAGACCCTCACCTACGCCCTCAAGCGCAGCTTCAAGGAACTGGGGCTGCTGCTCATGTATCTGGCCGTGGGCATCTTTGTCTTCTCGGCCCTGGGCTACACCATGGAGCAGAGCCACCCCGAGACCCTGTTTAAGAGCATCCCCCAGTCCTTCTGGTGGGCCATCATCACCATGACGACCGTTGGCTACGGTGACATCTACCCCAAGACCACTCTGGGCAAGCTCAACGCGGCCATCAGCTTCTTGTGTGGGGTCATTGCCATTGCCCTGCCCATCCACCCTATCATCAACAACTTCGTCAGGTACTACAACAAGCAGCGGGTCCTGGAGACAGCCGCCAAGCACGAGCTGGAGCTGATGGAGCTCAACTCGAGCAGTGCGGGTGAGGGCAAAGTGGGGTGCTCCCGCAGTGACCTGGACAGCCTCCCGCCAGAGCCCGTCGGGGAGGAGGGGCCGAGCTGGAGCAGCCGGCTGAAGATCTCCCACAGCGACACCTTCATCCCTCTCCTGACCGAGGAGAAGCACCACAGGACCCGGCTCCAGAGTTGCAAGTGACGAGGGTCTTCCGGGCACAGATGGACTCGGCCAGTGGACGGATGGACAGGTGTGATGGGCCTGTCCATGACTTCCTGGGAGGGGCTGTCTTTTGTCCCCTCAACCGTCTCCTGAACAGAACTCTGAAGGCCCCCTTGGGCACCTCTGGTGAGGCTGGGTAAGACCCCTGTATGTTGCCGGCAGTCAGGAGCCCGTGGGGAGAGAGGGGTGTCCAGGAGTCGCGGGCAGTGTGGGGTGACGGAGGCCATGGTCTGGCTGATGGCAGGAGCCCTTGCCCGGTTCTGTATCTCCTTCAATAAAGCCTCCTGCTCTGTGCACCCACCTGTGTTGTAGGTTCTGTCCCAGGCTGGCTGTCCCCCGATACCCCACCCCTCAGACATGGCTCGGGTGCACGCAGTGCCAGGCCGGGAAGTAGGTGTGCCGCCCAGGGGGGGCTATTTTTAGTTGAGAGCTAATTAAAGAAGGGTTCATACACAGGGTTCTGCGCCAAGGAGCCTTGCCACATTCCAGGAGGCTCTGTGCCGGCAACTCCTTCCTTCTGTTTCCTTCTGAGGAAAAGCTTGCTCCCAGGAGGGGAAGAGTTCACCGAGCTAGAAACACCGAGTGGCGTGGTTACCACTTATCTATCATCTGTGGGAGGCCCTTTTCACAACTTCTTTCCATTCCTTCCAGCAACCCTGCTAGATAGGTATCCCCATTTGACAGATGAAGAAACTGAGGCCCGAGACCACCCAGAGCAGGGATTCAGTCCCAGGTGTAAAGATCCTAAAGCCCATGCATTCTCTTTGCTTTGAGGTGGCCTTGGGACAGAGGCGTGTGCTTGGGCCCACAAAGGAGGGAAGGTCTGTAGACCAGGAGAAGAGCTGAGCTTCCTCAGGGTGGGCGTGCCTGTCCTCCAGCCCATCCTGCCTTCTAGAACCAGGACCTCTGCCGTATCAGCTGAATGGGCAAACCCGAGTGTGCCCGGGTGGCCCACTTCCAGCCTGGTCTATGAACCCCAGAGGAACAGAGACAGACAGACTTCCTCATTCCCAGGGAATGAGGAAGCTATCTCTGAGATGTCCTCTAGCTCAAATACTTTTCTCGCATTTTTCTTTAGCTCTTTTCTCCCCCACCACCACTCCTTTAGCTGTGTGGTCTTAGGCCTGTTGATCAACCTCTCTGATCCTCATTGTGATCATTCATTAAGGGGGGGGCTATTAAAATTATCTCAGAGACCCATGGTGCTTAACGCAGTGCCTGGCACATAGTAGCTGCTCAGTAAATGAATTAATGACAGCCATCTCTATGACTGTGTGCTGAGAGGGAGGCGAGTCCCATAGCTGTCTCCTCTGGCCTCCAAGGTCGGGGCTGGGTTTGTGCAGCGGCAAGGGGGGGGGACAGGGCCCTGCCACACTGTTCGTAGTCAAAGGCAGTCCCCTTGGACAGACTTGGTCCTGGCAGGCTCTTCTCCCTGGCTGTCTATCTTCCAGGAGCCCCAGAGTTCTGTTCTTCCTTCCCCGGCTGAGGCAGCTGATGCCCAGGAAAGAGCCATGGTCAGGGAGTAGGGTCGGTGATCCCCCCAGTCTTTCCTCTTCTCTGAGCCCTGGTTTACCTACAGGCATACAGAGGGATGGTTTCTCTGGGCTCTTTCCAGGATTTCAAAGCCTAGGGCGTGTAGTGTTGAGGACTCCAGGGGGTGGGAGGCTGCCCTGTGGTAAGGGGACTTGGAAGGGAGGCCTCGAGAGAGTCAGGGCCATCCCTGTGGGGAGCAAGGCCCTGAGCCAATATTGTGTGCTCCTCCCCCCAGGTTTCACCAGGGAAATATTGGGTCAGGGGACCAAGGGAGGTAGAGGAAGGAGGTGGGGCTGGAACTGTGGGACTCAGTGGCGGTGGAGGGGTGGGGAGGAGGGGGTTGTCGCTTGGTCTGTGTGGGCCTTGGCTCAGTGGGGGCTCTGGAGCCTAAGTGCGGGAAACGTTCCTGGTTGGGGAGAGGCCAGGAGGACCCCGGATCAGGAGGCGCCTTCTCTTTGGTTCACCTGGGGGTAAGGGAAGAGTATATAAAGATAGCTGCAAAAGCACCTCGGAGTCCAGCTCATCTACCGGAAGGAGGAGACTGTGTCCGGAGACGATGAGGATTTGTCTGAGAACCTTCGTGAATTAGGATTAGTTGGTGTCCCGGTGTCAGAGGAGCTCAAAGGGGGACAGGCTGGTTGTGGAGGAGTGGCCAGAGGCAGCTGTGGGAGCCAAGGCGGAGGGGCAGCCCTCTCTCCCTGGGGAATCTTTGCAGGGTACATTAGAACTGCCTGGGAGCTCTACAAAATCCTGGTGGGCAGCCGGCACCCACACCCGTTACATGAGAATCCTAGGGTGACACCCAGGCATCAGAATTTTTAAAAAACTTTCAAGTGCACACGAGTCATCTGGAGCTCTTGCTAAAATGCAGAATCAGTAGATCTGCTTGGGCCCCTGAAATCCTGCATTTCCAACAAACCCCCAGGTACAGCCACTACCTTCCAGGAACCCCGGGGCTCGTCCTGAAGTCACACTTGGAGTATCAAGAGGCCAGAACAGGAGCAGGCAAGCTATGGCCAGGGCCCCAAATATAGCCTGCCATCTGTACAGCCCATGACCTAAGAAGGCCTTTTACGCTTTTAAATGGTTAAAAAAACAACCGGAGAAAGAATAACGTTTTGTGACACATGAGAAGTATCTGAAATTCAAATGAAGTCTTAGTGGGACAGAGCCAAGCCCGTTTCTCAGATTGTCTCTGGCTCAAGGGCGGAGGTGAGTAGTTGTGAAGGAGATCACCTGGCCCTCAGAGCCCAAACTCTCTCTTATCTGGCCCTGTACAGCGACAGCGCACCAACCCTGGGTGTGGGAAATGAGATCTCTTGGGCCTTGAAGAATGAGTAAGAGTTCTCCCGGAAGCAGAAGGAGCTGTGCAAAACCCAGGAACATCATGAGCAAAGACCCAGGAGCAGGGGGCCCTCTTCCAAGGGGGCTGGACTTGGGTCCCTCTCGGCGTCCCCGGGGGGTCAGAGCCGCCTTCCTTTCTTTCCTTCTGAGAATCCCCAAGTCCTGGCTTCCTACATCGGGCTCTCTGCAAACCCCGGCTCCTGCCTTGCAAGCCAGTCTCTCCCTCCCTTCCTGACCTCTCGTCCATGGTGTCACCAAATCTCCCCTCGCCTGGGACCAGAGCCTAAACATCCTTTTCTCTGACTTGGGTGATTCTGACAAACTTGTTGGGCCTCGTTAGTTTCTGAGAGAGAAAGAAAGAAAAATATGTTTCATGGAATCGCAGAATATCCAAGTTTAAAGGAAAGTAGCCATCGTCTAGTCCAGCTCTCCTCCAATGAACTGATGGGGAAATCTGGTACCAAATCCTGTGCAGTCGAGTGAGGGGGAATTCATTAAAGGCCTGCAGCTCACAGCCAGATTGAGGGGCCCCTTTGTTCTCACAATGTTGAGAGCATTGTGCCATTTCGAAAACAGAATTTTGAGTGCAAGTCTCTGTGTGTGTGTGTGTGTGTGTGTGTGTGTGTAAAAACAAATCATGCAGTGAATTAATTATCCTCAGTTTTACAGACAAGGGAACTGAGGTCCAGAGAGCAGAGGCAACAGGCTTGTGGCCGTGTGCCACTCCTTGGTGGCTGACGTAGGAGCTGCGTCCATGGCCTGCCGCCCACCCTTACCCAACAGCCAGGCCAGGATGCTCTCGCGGTCTCCGTCAGAACTCAGGGCCCCAGAGACTCTCACCTAGTGTTTGCCCCCGAGCTTCCTAATGGCAAGATGCTGTCATCTGATCGCTTAGAAAGCCACATTCCAGATGGACTGGTTCTGGCGGTGGTGTTTTTTTAAGGAAAGATTGAGAAGGAAAACACATTTCCTTGAGCTTTGGACCAGATGCTTGGGCCATGCACGGTTAAAGATCCATGTTGGCAATGGTAGGAGGTGTCTGGAGCATAAAACCTGCCATCTGGGGTCTGGAGGTACCACCGAAAACAATGAAACAAGATACCCAGAAAATGGGGGAAAAAAAATCTGTGAAAATGGCAAGACCTGAAATTCTTTCACACACACTTCCTAAGAAACCCTGAGAGGCAGGTAAGACTCTGGCAATTGCCCGGGGTTTCAGGAATGGGTGCGCATTGCCGGATTTGAAGGGGGTCCTGTTAACGGGGGAGTTCCGGCGATGATGGGCCAGGGCAGGGGATGCTTGGGAGGCAGGGGGGCCCTTGCCTGCCCCTGGCCCAGGCAGGGGAGGGGCTGCCTGCTCGCCCTAAGCCCCAGCCAGGCCCAGTCCTCCCCGCTGCCCCGCAGAGGCCTCCTGACATCTCCTGGGAAACATGGGGCAGGTGTTTCCAGAAAGGCCTCCCACCTTCCCGCCGGAGACAAGCCGGGTCTGTGCACTGCACTCTCAGGGACGTATGTAGCAGCAGATTTGTAAGCGCATTTTAGCTGTACCCCTAATCTGAGGTGGAAGCCCCCCTGAGAGGCTTTTCTCCCCTCGTAGCAGCCCGAGATGCAGCTGCAGGGATGCTGTGGGTTTTTCCAAAAGGGAAAGAAACAGAAGCAAAGATTAGCGGACTGTGCTCCATCATTTTACTGCCACGGTCAGCCAGCCGGACTGGGAACCAGGGCGGCCGTCAGCGTGACCTTATTTCCCTCTCTGGACAACCGGCCCGAAAGGTGTGGCTGGTCCTGTGGCGGATGACACGCGTGCAGTCACGCAGCTGAAGGGAGGTCCGCGGGGGAGTCCAGCTCAGGCGGGGTGCCCGCCAGCCTGCAAAGCGGCATCTCTCCCCACCACTGCCGGCCCTTCCGTCGGGCTCGCTGGGAGGGAGAGAGCCACCCTCCGTGGGCGTCTGCCGGCGACCACCTGCCGGTGGGCACGTGGCTTCTCCCCAAACACAAGCGCGACGCCTCTTGACAAGGGCTTGGCTGGGCAGACGGGCCCCGGGCTTGCTGCGGTGGCAGCCCCGCTCCGGGGGGAGGTGCAGGTATGAACACACGGGCCAGTGTCTGTGGGCGCACGTGTTGGCGAAGCGGTCGGGACCCGGGCTTTGAAGCCAGGCGCCTTGTCCCTGCCATATAGTCTGGCTCCTCGCTGGATCTGGAGGGGTGGGGCTGACCTGGCCTTAGAGTGGAGGCCTCAGGGGAGGCCCAGCCAGCTCACAGGTGGACTGGAGCCTCCAAGACCACAGGTTCGCCTCTTGCACCTGAGGGGGTATGGGAGGTGGGAGCAGAGCCCTCCCTCTCCCTCCCGGTGGTGCCTCCCCTGCCCCAGACTAGTAGCATGGCACTCGAGGCCATTCAGGGCAGGCTCCAAAGTCTCTCT